GCGCGCCTCTCTCCATCTTCTGCCATCGGTCGGTAGCCACGTCCCCACCTCAGTGCTCCCAGTAGCACTGAGCTCCTCTCCATCTCCCACAGCCAAGGCGAGCCGGTTCCCTGTTACATAAGCCGGGACCGAAGCAGACGGACAGACAGATGTGTAGTCACTCAAGCCCACATGAGCCTGCAGCAAGCCCAGCAGGTCTATTTTAAACCCGCCCAGCCTCTGGCCACTGCTCACAGCCTCCAAGTCACCCCAGGGCCAGGGATCCTGGGGCTCTGCTTGCTTTCTAGTGGCTTCTTAGTCCATCTCCCTACTTCTGCCATTGCCTGGCACACCCTGAGCAGGCCCAGTATGTCAACACAAGCAGCCTGGTCCTCCACTCAGTGCTGCCCTCGGAGCGGGCCTGGTGGTGGGCCTGGGAATTCCAGCTGCAAAGGAGGCGGAGGCAGGAGGGCTATGAGTTCCAGGCCAGCCTGGGCAACTTAGCAAAACGCTGTCTCAAAATTTAAAAAAATGTTTAAAGGGCTAGAGATGTAGTGGTAAAAAGCCTTTGCCTAGCATACATGAGGCCTGAGTTCAGATCACACACTGAAAAAACAAAAAGCAAAATCCTCTCCATGATATCTACTATAGACAGTTTCTGCCAGAGTTTGTTTTTTTGTTTTAGTTTTTGGGTGTTTTTTTTTTTTTGGTTGGTTATTTGAGACAGGGTCTCGCTATGTAGTTCAGGCTGGCCTGGAACTCACTATGTCACTCAGGCTGCCCACTTGTGGCAACCCTCCTGCCTCAGCCTCCCAAGTGCTGAGATTACAAGCATACAACAACATGCCCCGAGCTAGTTTTGTTTAATTTTTTGGTTTTGCTTTTGGTGACAGGGTCTCCACATAGTTCAGGCTGACCTTGAATTCACTATGTAGCCCAGGCTGGCCTTGAACTCTCCAGGATCCTCCTGCCTCTGCCTACTGAGTGCTGGGATTGCAAGCATGCATTACCATGCTCAGCTTCAAGGTGGTGTGCACTTACCTACTTGTTTATTGTCTGCCTCTGCCCAAGAGACTGAGGTCTTTACAGCATGGACCAAGGTCTCTTTTTCTTGCCTTGATATCTAGAAGAGTCCCCAGCCCACCACGGGCACTGGAGAAGTATGTGTTGAACAAATGAATCTTACTAATTAAGGAAAATCGCTCCTTACTATATAACTTGCGGGGCCTTCCGCTGAGGCGTGCGACCTTTCCTGACGCAAGTGTTCCCGGGTGTGTTTTGGAGCCTCTCCCTGTGAAGCAGACTCCCCATCAGCCATCTGGAGAACAGCACAGTGGATCCACAGCTCTGTGTGCACAGCAACCACTTGGCGATGACTGGAGATCTCCAAGTGACGTCCTGGAGGCAGACTGCCTGCCTGGCCCGGCTCATCAGACCACAGGAGAAAAGGCCCCAAAACAACCACACTTCTGCTTGGCCGAGAAAGAAAAAGACTCTGCAGAAGCCAAAGCTAAGTGACATCCCAAAGCTAAGTGACATCCCTAAGTGGACAGCCAGCAGCATAAATCACAGTCCTGAGACTGTGTCCACACAGACAGGCAAGCACTCAGGAAATCAGGGAGGAAAGAAGTCAGGCAGGATCGGGTGAAGAGGATGATACGTCGCTGTTCCCAGCAAGGAGCAGCTGCCGGCCCTGGGTGCAGGGAGACACTGCCCTGACCACACTGGGAAGAGAAAGGCACCCAACCCACTGGGAAGCCACTTCCCTATCAGATTGGCCAGGGACCAAACCCGAGCACAGGGTGGGCCCAGGGCAAGGACTGGGCCATGGCATGCTGTGAGCTGGCATGAATTACCGTGGAGGGCACTGAGTCCAACTCTACTATAGAAGGCAACCACAGGGACTGGCAGACAACTGAGCACAGCAGGCAAGGCCCGGGCTTGACCCCAGCACTGAAGACTGAAGGGTTTTTATTTTTAAAAAAAGAAGTTAGGAAAAAAACACCAATGCTGGGTGTGGTGACACATGCCTGTGATCCTGGCACTCTGAAGGCTGAGGCAGGAGGATTGAATTCGAGCCTAGCCTGGGCTATGTAGTGAGTTCAAGGCCAGCCTGAACTACATAGCAAGACCCTGTCTCAAACTGCCACCCCCCAAAATAAAAATGAAAATAGATTTAGGACTATTCTAGAACAAACTACTTGATGTATAATAAAAATACCAGCCAAGGGCCAGGGATGTAGCTCAGTGGCACCACGCCTGCCTCAAGAGTACAAGGTCCTGAGTTCAATCCCCAGTACTAAAAAAAAAAACAACCAAAATACCAGCCAAGCATGGGTGGTGCATACCTCTAGTCCCAGCACTTGAGAGGCTGAGGCAGGGAGGGGGATTGCCACAAGTTTGAGGCCAGCCTGGACTACATATGAGTTCAAGGCCAGCCTGAGCTGCATAGCAAGACCTTGTCTCAAAAAACCAAAATAGGGGCTGGAGACGCAGCTCAGTGGCACAGCGCCTGTCTGGCAAGCTTAAGGTCCTGTGTTCGATCCCTGGTACCAAAAATAAAAAATAAAAATACTAAGTACCATATAGTATGCATAATATGCTCTCTGCTAATTCAGACTTTAAAACAGTGAAAGGCGAGAATATACAGCTTGCTATTTATTTCTGTATGGGTGAAGCTAAATGAGAAGCTGGTGACAGCAGCTAACCAAGATGGTAGAGGCTTTGGAGACTTTTCTCTACGTACATTATATAAGTACGTTCATAATTTCTTCCTAGTCAGAAGGCTGAGGCAGGAGGATCACCTGAGCTCCAGCCCAGCCTGAGCTACATACCAAGTTCAAGACCACCTGAACTTCATAAGGAGACATTGTCTCAAAAAACCAAAGGAATTTCCTCCCCAAACACCACCTAATCTGCATTGACTGATTTACTTACTCAGCCACAAAGCAGGTCCTTTATCAAATACCAGTGACCCTGGGAGACAGCAAAGCTGGGGACCTCAGTGTTTGTGCCTCCACCTCCAGTGACTTCTCTCCTCCCCCCTGGAGCCCCAGCACTGTGCACCAGGTTATTTGCCCCAGCAAGTGGCAGCCACACATTGTCTGGGCCCCTTGCTCAAGCCAGGAGGTCTGAGACCCATTCACACCCGCAGCACCCCAGGATGAGGCTGCAAGTAGATTTCAGTGGCCCCTAAGCCTTTTTTTTTTTTTGGAGATGGGGTTTTGCTAAGTAGCCAACACTACCCTCAAACTCAGAGATTCTCCTGCCTCGGCCTCCTGACAAGGAAGAAATTGTGAGTGCTAGGGTTACAGGCATGTGCCACCACACCCACCTCTGCTGAAGTCATTTTGAACGGGTTTCTGTCATAGCCTAGAGTGCTGTTTACTGAAAATCTGACCCTACAGAGTTTGTCAGCTGGTTCACCACTCTGTGGGAAATGGGCTACAGGCCACCGGCCAGTCACAAGGATGCCCTGTCCTGGCTCATGCTGGTGGCTGCAGCCGCCAGGCCCTGCCCCTTCTAGCCTTGCTGTGGCCACAGCTGGGAGACACAGGTGTCAGCTTCGTGTCCACAGCTAACCCTGTGCACCAGCTTGGTCCCCAGAGGCTGCAACCTAGAGCCCACATCCAACCCTGCCCTGCCAGACACCTAAATGTGGCCAAATAAAACAGGCCACACGCGTGGAGAGCCAGGTGACACAGCTCAGACCCTGTTCAGCCCTGCAGGGGTCACCAGGACCTGGAGGGGGGTCCCCAAAGCTATCTGGGTCATGCAGTTGAACCTGAAAACAGCTCACTCGCTCTTTGGTTCGGTTTTTCTTTTTGGTACCGGGGATTGAACTCAAGACCTTGTGCTTGCTAGGTACCTGCGGTGCCACTGAGCTACATCCCCAGCCTTTTTTTTTTTTTTTGGTACCGGGGATCGAACTTGGGTTCTTGCACTTGTGCAGCACGCAACGAAACCACTGAGCTAAATCCCCAGCCCCCTTTTTTGTTTTTTTGAGACAGAGTCTTGCTATGTAGTCCAGGCTAACCTGAAACTCAAGAAGATCCTCCTGCTTCAGCCTCCCAAGTACTGGGATGACAAGCATTCGCCACCATGCCTGGCTTCTCCTTGTGGAAGGGAGGGTGAGGACAGGAAGACACGGCTTGGCCCCCTCATGAGCAGCGGGCTCTGACCTGGGCAGCCCTTCGGTGTCCTGGGGCTGCTATGTAGCCCCACCAAAAGGCTTTGCTTCCTTCCTCTCACTCAGGAGAGAGACAGGCTCATGTTTGAGATGCCCAGATGTCAGCACAGGGCCAGGATCAGAGCAGCAGAGGGAGCGGTGGGGACAGGGACAGGAGAGCTGGGGATGTAGCAGAATGAGGGGTGAGCTGCGTGGGGACCAGGATGTGGCCTCGGCCCCCCCCATGTCTGCCTGGACCGTGAGGCCCAGGTGGTACCAGGGCTGGGCAGGTGGCGCCAGGCAAGCGGTAGGCACTTCCTGCTCCACATGCTCAGCTCAGGATCCAAAAGGCCCCTTGGACCCTGGGCTTCTTGAAGGCTGTACCTTCTGCGCCCATGCCCTCTGCCTAATCCACCTGGTGGGGCCTGGCCTGCTGACTCCAGCCATGGGCCACAGGCTCCCAGCAGCACCACACAGTGCCCAGCCCCCAAGAGAGAGCAAGCAGGCCTGTGCAGTGCTCTGAGCATTCTGGGCACCTTGAGGTGCTACTCTGCCCTAGCCGGGGGAGTCTACTCAGCAAGTGGGACTTGCCAGCCAGGCATGGTAGTGCATGCCTGTATCCCCAGCACTTGGGAGGCTGAGGCAAGAGGATTGCCATAAGTTCAAGGGACTATATAATGAGTTCAAGGGCAGTCTGAACTACATAAACAGAGCCTGCCTCAACCCGGCCCCCCCAACAAAAAAAAAGTCTTACCAGCCAAACATGGTGGCACACATCTAGAATCCCAGCACTCCAGAGACTGAGGCAGGAAGACCGCTGTGAGTTCAAGGCCAACCTGAGCTACATAGGTAAAGCCCTGTCTCAAAAAAATAAAAAGATTTGCTTTCTGACCCCACCCACCAATGCCAACCATTAACTCCCTCAAATGACCAGTGTCCACAGCAAGCCCCGCAGAGCTATAGCTCAACAGCCAATTTTTTTTAAAGTTTCACATGAACGTTTCATTTATTAAAATAATTTCTGTGAACTCTCTAATAAAATTCATTTTCCATTCTTGAGAAGCATTTCAAGGCACCATAAAATGATGGTCTAAGCACAGCCCTCTTTCCATGTGCTAAAATCATACCAAAAAAAAACTCTTGCTGTTGACCCCAGCCCATCGGCAGTGTGGAAAATGGACCCAGTCACAATCACACAGGAGCTGGCCACCTAGGAAGGGATCTACTGCTGCTGTCCCAAGCAGACAAAGATGAACCCAACACTTGTGATGAAGGGTGAGTGGGAGCCAGCTGTGGCTGACATATCTGTGACCCTAGCGCTCAGAGAGGCTAAGGCAGGAGGGTTCCAAGTTTGAGATCAGCCTGAGCAACTTACTGAGAGCATGTCTCAAAATAAAAAACAAGGGCTGAGAATGTAGCTCAGTGCGAAGGTTCTGGGTTCAATACCCAGTACTGGGGAAAGAAAACAGCCAGTGGGATGGGGGCGCAAGGCACCCTCAGACAGAGCCCTCACTTCCGGGCCTCTTCTTCGCTCAGGCTAGCGTCCCCAGGGCATGAGGCCACCAGCTTGGTCTGCAGCAACGCCGCCAACTTCTTGGAAGTCTTTTGCAGGAGGGCACTACCCGGGTGTGCACGGTGTGCATGCAGGTACAGGTCTTCCTGCGAGGGACCCGTGTGGCCACAGTCCTCACACACGTACAGCTTGTCTCGCCGCTGCTTGTAGGCGTACTGCTGATGCACGCCATGGATCTTCTTCAGGTGCGACTCCAGTGAGCAGCGTTGCGTGAAGGCCTTGTTGCACACGTCACACTTGTAGGGCCGAATGCCTGCAAGGAAGAGGGCGACAGCCAAGTCACCACCAGGTCACTGCCTCCCTCCCACCATGCCAGGAAAGGTCGCATGACCAGAAGGGGGCCGCAGCTGGAGGACCAGGACCCAGCGGTACCCAGAACTGTCTAGAGGGCGACATCTCCAAGGCCTGCCCTGCTTCTTGAGGGAGACCTGTCCTCCCCACTGGGGGCCTTCAAATTCTCAGCTGAGCATGCCAAAGGAAAGGAGATGGGTGTGGTGGCCCATAGCTGCCATTCCAGCATCTGGGAGGCTGAGGCAGGAGGGCCCCAAGTTTGAGCACAGCCTGGTAGCCTAGTATCTAAGTGAGATCCTGTCTCAAAATAAAAAGAAAGAGTTGAGGATGGGGCTCAGTGTAAAGGCCCTGGGTTCAATGCCTAGTACTGAATAAAAAAGACAGACAGAAAGAAAGAAAATTACAGCTCTTGCCGGGATGCAGCTCAGTGGCACAGCACCTGCCTGGCAAGCACAAGGTCCTGGGTTTGATTCCCGGTACAAAAAAAAGAAAATCACAGCTCCAAAACAATGCAAAATGAACCCTAAGGACAAGAATGGGCATGGTGGCGCAGGCTGAGGCAGGAGAAGAGGGTCACTCCAAGTTCGAGGCCAGCCTGGGCTACAAAGCAAAACCTTGTCTCAACCCCTCACATAAAAAAGCCAGGGGACAGCACTGGGCAGTGAGGGACCAGGGCCAGTGCCCCTCCTCCAGACTGAGTGTCCCAGGACCCCGACAGAGGCTCACAGGCCAGGGAGGGCACTCAGACACCTCTACTCATGAATTTCCTGTTCAAAATGAGGGAAAAGGGCAGGCATGGTGATACATGACTGTAATCCCAGCACCTGAGAAGCTGAGGCAGGAGGATTGGTATGAGTTCAGGGTCATCCTGGGCTACATAATGAGTTCAACGCCAGCCTGAACTACATAGTGAGACCCTGTCTCAAAAAAAACCCACAGGCATTGTGATGCATGCCTATAATCCCAGCACCTGGAGACGGATGCAGGAGGATTCTGAGTTTAAGCATAGCCTGGGCTACACAGTAAAGCCTGTCTCTCAACAAACTAAAGATCCTATCTTTGGTGGGGGTACTGAGGCAAGGTTTTGCTATGCAATTCAGGCTGGTCTTGGACTTGCTATGGACTCCAGGTGCGTGCCAGCTGGGGCCTTCCACCCTGCCTCCAATTACACCTTCACTCCCAGCCTGCCCCACTGCACACGTGTGTGTCCGCATGCCCACACACACACACCCTGCTGCTTCACCCTCCTTTTTTTTTGTCTCAAAAAATTAAAAGGAGGGCTAAGATGTAGCTCAGCATGAAGGCCCTGGGTTCAATCCCCAGTACCAGGAGAAAAAAAAAAATTAAATGCTTATCTGTAGATTTCAATTATCTTAATGCTGCCCAATGGAAATTAAAATACAAGCCACTTTATAATATTTCTGGTACTGGGGATCAAACACAGGACCTTGTGCTTACAAGGCAAGCGCGGTGCTAATGAGCTAAATCCCCATCCTGTTAATTTAGTATTTTCTAGGAGCCTTATTAAAAATCAACAGAAATACCTGAAATTATTCTTATTATACTATAACTCAATATATCTAAACCATTACCATTTCAATATGAAATCCATATTAAAAATTGAGAACTCTTAGGGTTTTCAGTTGTTGCTTTAGAGTTGTCTTCAAACTCTAGTGTCCACTGCTTTTTTTTTTTTTTGAGTCAGGGTCTTACTATGGAGCCCAGGATGTCCTTGAACTCAGAGTAATCCTCCTGCCTCAGCCTTCTGAATGCTGGGATGAAAGGCATGCACCACTGCGCCTGACAATATTTGTCCCAGCATTAGTTGTGTAGGTATGTTCCTTTTGGGAAAAACCTACACCTTTGGATTCTTGTTATTTGTGCACTTTTCTGGATATACGTTACCCTCCACGAAAAGTTCACTTTAAGAAAATATTTAAAAAGAAAAAACCAAGAAAGGTATCTGTTAGCATGGCAGCCCACTCCGCAAGGCAGGGGACACTCTTCCCAGGCCAGCACCTGAAGGACAACAAGGCATGATAAGCACTAGAAAAGAAAATCGAATACAGCAGACCTAAGACAGGCACTGTGGGGGTGAGGAGCTCCCCAGATGCTGAGAAGCCTAAACTCAGAAGGGGTGAAGATGAGGGCTCTACACAGGGCCCATTAGGAGGCTGTGGGAGGGTGGGCAGCAGCCTGAGTGGGGTTGGAGGCGTTAGAACCAGATAGATTTAGATGAGATAGTGCACGATCAAACTGGAAAGGGTTGAGATGGGATTTCCTGAGGGGTCTGTGGGTGGAGACTCAGGCCAATCTCTCAGGAAGATCACGACAACAGCAGCAGATCAACAGGGCTGGGCATTTAGCTCAGTGGTGCCTGCCTCAAAAGCACAAGGTCAGGGTCAGGGATTTAGCTCAGTGGCTTCACCTCCTGCTTCGCTCAAGGACCCGAGTTCAATCCCCGATCCCCGGTACCAAAAACAAAACAAACAAACAAAAAAAGCACAAGGTCATGAAGTTTGATACCTGGTGGGGGGGGGGGGTGGAATAGCAGGGATCAACAAATACAGAAAATGTTTAAATTTTAAAGTAAAATATACATTGCCATGAGTGTCCTTTAAACCACCCTCAATTGCTTCAAGTACACTTTCTTTCTTTTGGCTTTTTTTTTTTTTGGTACCTGGGATCAAACTCAGGACCTTGCGCTTGCGAGGCAGGCACCGGAACCACTGAGCTAAATCCCCAGCCCTCTTTTGGCTTTTTGAGACAAGGTCTCTCTATGTAGTTTAGGTTGGCCTTGAACTCATAGCAATCCTCCTGCCTCAGCCTCCAGAGTGCTGGGATCACAGGTGTGTGGCACCATGCCCAGCTCTCGTGTACACTTCTCCCATCATTGGTGGCACTTTCTGCAGCAGCTCTGGAAGTCCTCTTTCCTGAGTGTCTAGTTGTGCTTTCATGGGTGCCTCTATGTCCTGAATCAACTCAAAATGCCCTTTGTGGTCATTTTGACTTTGGGGAAGAACCAGAGTCTTAGACCCAGTGGATAAGGACACAGCATCATGTCTTTATGAGCCTGCCTTTCCTTTTGGATGGCACTCAGCAGCACCATTCACCATATTTTTGATCACACCTCATAGAGACTCTCAGGAAAAAGGATTCCAGAGCTGCTGCAGAAAGCGGCAAGGACGATGGGAGGGCATGCATACCCATGAGTTCTTTACTGTAATAAGTGGCATATAATTTAAGCAGTCACTATGTTTTTCTGTCACCCTGGTGTTTACCGAGTCAGGCCTCCTTCCTGGGAACAAAACAGAGTGCTGGAGAGGGACACAGAGCCACATGCTGGTGGCAGGGCCTAGGTGCTGACTTAGGTCCCCACCCAGCGTGTGTCAAGTGCCCCAATTCTACGAACCCCCTGACTAGCTCTGGGCCTCTCCAGAGTCCAAACAGGCTGGAGGAGCCCAGCAGGTGGCAGCATCGAGAGGGGACCCGGATGTCCCTGGTGACCTCACCTGTGTGCGTTCGGACATGCCGCTTGAGGTCGAAGGTGTCGTTGAAGCCCTTACCACAGAAGGTGCACAGGTGCCTCTTCACCTGGCTGTGGCACTTGAGGTGGCGGTTGAGCATACGCTGCAGGCGAAAGCCCTTGCCACAGAGCTCGCAGCTGTGTATCACTGAATCGCTGCATGTCCCTGTAGTGAACTGGAGTGGGGAGAGGCTGTGAGAGCCCGGGACTCCTGTGCGGACTCACAGGGGCTTGGCTCCAGGTAAGGTGGTCTCCTCTCTTCTGTACACCAGACTTCTGGTCCCCTGGCTTATAGAAGGGAACTTTCCTTGCAGGAAGGGGTGGCTCCTGGTGGCCAGGGCCCCAGCAGCCAGCTTGCACCACAAGGCAGAGCCCAGCAGTGAGGATAGAGTGGCAGAGGGAGGAGTATGGTCCTGTCCTAGTCTAAAGACTGTCAGGCCAGGGCCGGGGATTTAGCTCAGTGGTTTCACCCCCTGCTGCGCAAGCGCAAGGACCCGAGTTCGATCCCCGGTACCAAAAAAAAAAAAAAAAGACTGTCAGGCCACAGTTACTCCTTCCTGTGGTGAGTGCTGTCCATCATCAGGAGCTGGGTGCTGCTTCCTCCCCAACAGTGTGGGCAGGGATAGGACCCCTGGACCAATGGGTGAGATGGAACCCGACAATGCACAGCCCTAGAAGACCCCGCAGCCAGGGCCTCCCCCTCCTATGCCAGCTGCTGTGTACAAAGGCCGAGCCCACACACAAGAACACTGAGATGTGGGTGCTGACTCGGGTCACCACTGGCCACAGAAGAGCAGCTGGCTGAGCTGAGCCGGGCTCCTGACCCACAAGGTCTCAAACAACAGTGACACAGGGCCAGGCATGGTGGCGCATGCCCGTCATCCCAGCACTCAGGAAAGTGAGGCTCCAGCCCAGCCTGAGCAACTTAGTAAGACCCTGTCTCAAAAATTTAAAAAGTAAAAAATAAAAGAGCTAGGGATGCACCTCAGCATGAAGGCCCTAGGTTTAATCCCAGGTGAGGACTCTCTCTCTCACACACACAGTTGCTAGGCTATAGGGAATAATGACAAGAAGAAAGCCTGTGTCGTGTCCAGTACAGACACAGCTTTTCAGATTTTTTTCACTCCACACAGGGTTGAATCCCTGGACACAGAGGCCAAGCCTGTAGAGGGCTGACAATGCCGTCCATCTCCTTCCAGAAAGTTCTGCTCACATCTTCCATGGGGCTTGAGGCTCCCATGGCCCAAGGCCCTGGGGTCAGCAAGTGCGGCCCAGGCTGGAGTGTCTCAGGGAGCAGGTGTCTCCAGCCCCGAGACAAACCCAGGCACCCAGACAGCTATCCCTGAGGATGCCATAGTCCAGGTACACAGACAAGTCTCCAGGCCACAACACTGACAAGCTGGGGTGCACAGGTACCTCGGGGGCCACTGACCCTGAATGCAACCCGAGATGAGGGAAGAAAGGAGGCTGTGGCCAGGGCAGTGGGACCTGGAGACCAGCATGGGGCTCAGGATGGAGTAGGGGAGGGACAACAGCATCGGAAGTCCCCTTAGGGCCCTAATACAGCTGCACTAATTCAGACACAAGAGAGCGCCCTGGAGGGCAGAGAGCAGCCACTGCAGCTGAGTCTGTGACCCAACCAGGGGGCCACCTTCATCCCAGAGCCACTCCCCCATGGGCACCAGTAGGGGCCAAGGTTCCCCAGGTCTCTTCCTGTCCAGCCTTCCTGGTCCCTGCCTCCCTTGAGGGGACAGGGAAAGACTCTGTGTGGCCACTAACTGCCCTGCACCCTTCAAGGTCAAGTCTATACAACATAGAGGTCATAGGGGCAAAGGAAACAGGACAGACAACAAAACCTTGTAATTCCAGGTAAAGATTTGTGAAATGCTGCCAGCCTTTGAAAACCTTGCCAACTACAGTTAGAGCCTAAACTCTTTCCTTTTTCCCTTCCTTCCTTCCTTCCTTCCTTCCTTCCTTTTTGCCAGGGTCTCATTATGTAGCCCAGGCTGGTCTCAAACTCAAGGCGTTAGGATTACACAGGCGTGGGCCACCATACCCAGCAACTCTTCCTGATTGATTGACTGAGACAGGGTCTTGCTGAAAAGTCCAGGCTGGCTTTGAACTCACTATGCAGCCCAAGATGACCTCAAACTCGCAGGGATCCTCCTGCCTCACCCTCCCAAGTGCTGGGATTAAAGGTCTGCACCCTACAGCAGGCACTAAAGCCTGAGCTCTAGTTTGCCGACTTTAGTCTTTTTGGTAAATTCCTATTTTTAAAGTGTTCGGCATGGAATATGGGCGGAAAACTTCTACTGCTGTCCAGGAGGGAAAGCTCAAATCATTGGCGTTGTTTGTTGGAAAAGAGTAAAATCTTGAAGGGCACAGGCAAGGGTGCTTAGCAATAACTCAAGGGGCGCCCAGAAAAACCAAGGGATAAAACAGGAACAGGCAGGAAATGGGAATGGGGAAAAGGAGTTGCCTGTGGGCCTGTAGGTCTCTCCTACCCACGGTGACCTTTCCTCCAGTTTTCTTACTGCAAAAGCAGATATTCCGCAAGTTGATGCTCTATGGAGGCTTTATTTTTTTTTCCCATTTCTCCACCTTCCCATCCATCCCCATTTCATAGCATTTTAACTGAGTCACCATCAAGTGGCTTATTTAGGGAATTCACCCGGAGGCCAACCCCGCAATCCACCAAACTGGTGTGGTGCAGCACACCCATAATCCCAGCACTGGAGAGGCTGAAGCAGAAGGATCACCATGAGTTCAAGGCCATGGGCTACATACACAGACAGATCCTGTCTCAAAACAATCAAAAAACAAAAAGCAGACAAACAAAATGAATGATGGAAAAAAAAAAAAAAATGAATGATGGAAGAACCACTCAATGGAGCAGCTGGGGACCAGCAGGTGGCACCACACCCATGAGTGGCTCCCAGGTGCCCAGCCCAGGGCAGGAGAAGGAGAAGCCACAGCAAGAACAGCAGCCCAGTCGCTCATAAGGGAAAAGAGACCAAGAGACTACACCAATGCTTTCTAGGTACTAGGTTTGGGGTGACAGCACTGGAGGAACAGATCAGATTGGAATAGCAAGAACCTTGTCACATTCTCCTTAGAACACCAGATTCGCCTCCTTCCTTCCTTCCTTCCTTCCTGTTTATTTGCAGCACCGGAAATTGAACCTAGGGCCTTCACCCTGAGCTATATGCCCAGCCCTTTTTATTTTTATTTTCCAGACAGGGACTTGCTAGGTTGCTAAGTTGCCCAGGCTGGGCTCAAATTTTTTTTTTTTTGGTACCAGGGAACGAACTTGGGACCTTTTGCTTGTGAGGCAGGCACCAGAACCACTGAGCTAAATCCTCAGCCCACGGCCTCAAATTTATAATCCTGCCTCAAGCCCGAGTGCAGAGAGATAGGGGTGCAACCACCGCTCAGCTCTTCTTTCCTTCTTCCTGTGCCAGGCACGGAAGCCAGGACCTTGCACCTGAGAAGAGTGTGTCCAGACACTGTGCCACATCCTGCCAGGCCTGCCCATTTCTGAGTGTCCTGTCCCAGACGGGTCGCACAACACAGAAGACACAGAAGACTGGAAGGTCAGAGGACTGGTCACTCTCCCCAGGTAATCAGTCACCTGGCTAAGCCACCTTTATTAATAATAATTAAAAATGTTTCCACAGGTTTGTCCACAACTCTCTGCCTCCTAAAAGTTCAAAAATAATAGCAGCTTCCCTTCACTCCACACTACCAGCAGTAGACAAAGTTACCCCTAAGCCAAAACTTAGTCCAACTGTGGAACAAGAGACAAAAAATGCTGAAGTGGGAGTGCTAGCGCACATCCACAATCCCAGCACTCCAGAGGCTGAGGCAGGAGGATGACCATGAGTTCAAAGCTAGCCTGAGCTATATAGCAAGACCCTAATCTCAAAACAAAACAAGAGATCAAAAAGCAAACAAAATATATGTTGAAAGGGCCAGAGGTTTAGCTCAGTGGCACCAGCACCTACCTGGCAAACACAAAGTCCTGAGTTCAATCCCCGGTTCCTCAAAGAAAAAAAAAGTGTAACAAAATATATGTTGAAAGAAATACTGAATGTAATAAAAACCTAGCCTGGCTGTGTGATTTGTCATTTAACATCCCTGGGTCACAATGCCCCTATGCAACGACACCCTCTCCTCCAGCGCACAAGCAGATAGGAGCAGGGCCTGTTTTCCAGCTTCCCGAGTCCAATTCCTGCCCCACCAGTTCTTGTCTGAATGGTACAAGCAAGTCACTAAGCCTTTCTAAGCCTCCATTTCATCACCAATGATATTTGCCTCTTGGGAATAAATGAAAGACTCAAAGAAGAAAAACTTTAAACGGACCCAGCACGTGGTAATCCTACTACAATTAGACCACCTCCAAAATTCTGGGATCCTAAGAAAAACCTAGTGGGTCAAAATCCCTTGTTTCTCAATTTGCTTTTGAATCGTTCTCTATGATGCAGGGGAAAGACCAGGAACTTCTGGTGTTAACTCCAAGCCTACCCCTTCACCTGCACCTTTTTACCCCAAAAGTCTGGCAGTGAGACACAGTCCAAATCAATGTGAGAAGATGCAGACTTTAACCCCCGTAGCACTGACATCTGTGTGTTTGATGCAGAAGTCATTAATGTCTTTACTTTACAGAGCCCTGTCTCAGACCTGCCTCAGGAAGTGGGATTTACACCCTGCTACCTTCTGAAAAGGCCTGATGGTCTATCTCACCCTTAATCCAAAACTAACACTTTGCAAAAGGCTTATTAACAAAGTGGGGAACCTATCCTAGAGGATGGGAAACAACATCAGTCTAGAAATAATTGAGGTCAGGAAAGACAAAGGGTGAAGAAAGCAATTCCTGGAGCCTAGGTTGGCGCTTCTCTGCGGGATATCGGCTTTCATTTTAAAAGACACCCAAAATCCCCCTCAAATACTTCTAAAACCCAGGCCTCTGCAGCAGAACAAACCCATCATTGTATCAGGGCTTCTGAAGGGTCAGGAGCATCCAGGGAACAAGGACCTCAGTGGGCTCTGTGACCAACTTCAAAGCTGGCTGGGATCACTTACCTGTCAAAGCTCTGAAGGAAATCAACAAAAAAGGGAGACGACCCTTTATTTCCTGTTAATGCTGCCACCACACCAGTTCATTAAATTTATGGTCCTGTTTCCTGTGGGAGGACACACTAGGTCCAAAGCTATCTTCCGGTGGCCACTTGGACAAGCTCTCCACTGGTGTGTTGGCTGTGCGTTGAGTGCTCAGAACATGGCAAGTACATCTCCCACTTCCTCTGGGATTCAGACCCACTCTGGTCTCATGTACCATTTCCTAAGGCTTCGCAATACCCCGTTCTCAATGAAGAGATGACTACAGTATGGGTCCATGGGGCTGGGCATGACATAGGGGAGGGAGGAGGGAAATGAACCTCTATAGTATTTCATACTATGGTAAAAAGAAGCTTCAGATTCTTTATGTCCTGTGTCAGACTCAACAATGGCCAAAGCATCAAAGCCATACATTGACAATGGCTGCCATATTGGACAGCACCAATGTTCTACAATGCACTACGCCAATGCTAAAATAAAGATCGTTGGGTTGGGCTTTGCCACTAACAACTGAGAGAGTCTCAATGAAAACTTGGGTTAGAATTTTTCTGTAGCCTCAGAAATTTCTATCCCACATTTGAGTCCTTGCGGGCCAGGGATTTAGTTCAGTGGTTTCGCCGCCTGCTGCACAAGTGCAAGGACCCAAGTTCGATCCCCGGTACCCCCCCCCAAAAAAAAGAATGGAATGCATTATGGCTCTGAGTCATTCTTGGAGCTTGGCTTAGTCTTTCTTTAGTTCACCTGGTGCCACATAATTAACCATCCTTTCTTTGCTTAAAATAGCTGCTGTGGATTCTGTTGTCTGCAACTAAACCCATGTGGTCCTTTCCAACAATAAAAATCCTCGTCAGTATTCAGATTTAAAATTGGCACAAGGTGGCACATGCCTATAATCCTAGTGCTTGGGAAGCTGAGGCAGGAGGACTACCATGAGTTCAAGGCTAGCCTGGGCTATATCGTGAATTCAAGGCCAGCCTGAACAACATAGCGAAACTCTGTCTCAAAAAAAAAAAAAAAGGTACAAGGGGTTGAGGAGGTGGCTCAGTGGCAAAGCATTTCCCTAGCTTGTTTGAGGCCCTTGGTTCAGTCTCCAGCACTGTAATCAATCAACCAATCAATCAATCGATCAAACTGGTATTATTAATAGATGATGTTCTCTTAGTCCTCCTTTCTTCCTTTTAATTAGGTTAACTTTTTTTTTTTGGTACCGGGGATCGAATTCAGGGCCTTATGCTTACGAGGCAGCAGAACCACTGAGCTAAATCTCCAGCCCTTAATTAGGCTAACTTTTATTCAGCATCCATTCCAAGCATTTCTCCAGATCTTGCTTTCCTCACTTCCTTTCAAATGCTGTCACTTGTGTCTAGGAACTGTCCCTTCTCCACTGCCTGCGCTCTTGTTCTATGTTGACTTGTGTCCACTCTGAGACACCACTCTGCCGGGTGCTGGGGATACAGCCCCAGCAGGGAGTCTTCTCTGGCTTTGACAGGAGCACTGTAGGAGGAGTCTGGTTGCTCCAATGCACAGCCAGGAGGTGAGCAGCAAGTTCCACTGGGGAAGAGGAGGGAATTTAATTCTGTCCTGGGAGATAGGAAATAGGAGGTCAGGAGTTAAGACACAGAGCTTTTGTTCCCTTCTAAACAACAGATGGATAGTTTTTTTGTTTTGTTTGTTTTTTGGTACTGGGAATTGAACTCAGAGACTCACACTTGCCAGGCAGGCACTGCACCATGAGCTACATTCCTGCCCTGCCCCTTTTTTGAGGGAGACAATTGTTTATTTTTTTAAAGCAAAACATGCATTCCTACATTTTAGATATACATGATAACATTCATCATAGGGAATTTGTACCTCTTCCCCTCCTTATATACAAAAGCTTTGTTTCCATTTTTCCTTCCATTTTCTCCTTTTTTAATCCTTCTATCCTTTCCCCCTCCCTCTTCCCTTGTTCTCCATCTCATTTGAACATTTTCTTCCCATTTCCCAATGTCTATTGTACATTTTAGAGATTGGCAGTTTTTTAAAAACTACTTAAAATCATGATTCACAAAGCCAGGTATTGTGGTACACACTTGTAATCCCAGCTACTCAGAGGCTGAAGCAGGAGAGTCAGAATTTCAAAGCCAACCTGAGAAACTTAGTGAGACCTTGTCTCAAATGAAAACTTAACAGGGGGAAGGGAGGCTGGAGGTGAAGCTTACTTAGTGGTACAGCACTTACCTAGCATCCCCAAGGCCCTGGGTTCAATCCTCAGTACCAGGGAGAAAAAGTTATGAGTCACAACAATACTTAGAACTATTTGGCCATCATTGGAGAATCCTGGGCAACCCACTGATTATCTTCATTTATAAATAAAGATAAACAAAGAGAATCAACAATTCTGTCTTTCCCAAATGAACTATCCCACCAGGAAATCAAACAGTAGTTCAGAGAAGCATCTCCATAGAAATATATCAGCCAGGCCCTGGGAGTGTGGCTTGGTGGAACAGCACGTGCTTAGCTCAGGCAAGGCCCTGGATCCTGTCCCCAGCACCGAGAAAAAAAAAAATAGTAAAGGAAAAATACATCAGCAAAAAAAATGAACAGCACTAATACCATCTGTCCCTCCCTCCCCGCCCCGCCCTGCTAAGCATTCCATGCTGGTCTTTAACTCTGTATAGCCAGGGCTGGCCTCAAACTTGTAGCAATCTTCCTTCCTCCCAAGTGTGGGATTCCAGGCATGGGCCACCATGCCTGGCTTAATACCGCTATTTTGCAATACAGAATAATCCAAAGCATTTAGGCTCTGAACACAAAAGCTGCTAACATCACACAAAAAGAGCTAACATCTAGTTCCTCTCAATGGAAACGCATACCTACTGTGACATATTCTAGCCAAAATGAAATGTCTCACCAAGCACACAACTTTCTAGGGTGACAGGAAGATGCAATTCTGGGCCAACCCACTTTCTGGTCCCCCTTCTATCTCTCTTAGGCTTGCTTTCTCTCAATAAATTTTTCCTATTCTAAAAAAGAAAAAAAGAAAAATGCAATTCTGGGTTGTCCAGGACAGGAGCTCCTAAGCACACACAGCCACTCAGCACTGAAATTCTTTTGCTGGTACTGGGACTTGCACTCAGGACCTTGTACTCACTAGGCAAGTGTTCTATATAGGGCTGAGCCATACCCAAGCCCACGGAGCTCACTTTTTCATCTCAGTTAAAAGCCACTATGCCTATGGGAGCCATACTGAACAACGCAGTGTAGCCCAACCACCCACTAGAGAAAACGCTGTGGCCCAGGAATGCTCAACGCCTTGGCAGGGCGTTCAACCCAACCCAGACTGTTGAGAACTACAAAACAAATCCACTTGCTCAGCCACAGAACAGAAAGGGAAGGCAAATGTGTAAAGAGACTGAAAGACGAGAGTCAATCAATTACAACACCAGATTAAGCAACCTGAGGGAGTACAGGAATCAGCACAATTGGTCAACAACTCCCATGCAATTGTTCACATGAGTGTGATTACGTATTACAGCTGAAATACAGTCACTCATGACTTAAAGACGGGGCACTTCCGGAGAAATGTCTCCTTTGGCCATTGTGAGGCCACTGCTTACCCAAACAAAGCAGCCAGGGGAGGGAGGGGCACTGGCATCCTTGGGACCACACCTGCAGGTGTGGCCTGTGCTTATTCCATAAGTGACTGGTGTGACATCTGAGATTTGCTTGGAAGTTGCGTTCGGGAGAATGAAGCAGTTGTGGATGGGAAGGAATGGTCACAATGGTTATTGAAGCAGGCGACAGATCTGTACTACGCTGCCTCTCCATAATTAAAAGCTATGTCAGGGAGACTACCCCAAGTTCACTCATCTGTCATTGCTGAGAGACTTGCACTAGACAGCCAGATGAGAACTTGAGAATGCTTTGAAGGAATCTAAACTCACTTTCTTTTGAAGAACCCATAGAGGAGAGCGGGGCGGTATGGGGTGAGAGGGCACACGGGACATCACTTGCTCTGGGTTGGCTCTGGACTTCGTTTCTGGGGAGACTCTGAGGGACACAGGGGTCAGCATTCCCTGGGGCTCCTCTGCCCGGAGCTAGAGACCTGCAAATGGGGCCATCACAGAAGGGACCAAGGGGACCTGGCATACACACCTTCCAGGATGTTGGTATCTCCCTCACCCTATCTGTTCTGCAAATCACAGGGCCCCCAGTGGTGAAGACAGCATTTCACAACCTGCCCCCAGGCCCACAATCTGAGACAGCTGGTCGGGCTGGATGCCTTTCCCAAGCTGCCCCAGGGCTTCCCACCAGACCCACTAGCTTGGGGAATTGCAGGTCGCTGCTACAGCAACAGCAACACAGCAGGTGGACATTAGCACACCTGCTGTGGTCACTGTCTGGTGACTTCCTGCTGGGCCACCTGGTATGCACAAAAAGCGCTAAACATCCATTACCTTAGTTAGCCTCCCTGACACTTCTGAGGCCAATTCTATTCTTTTCCCATTTTACAGATGAGGAAACTAAGGCTTCGAGGAGATACCAGATCTACGAGCACAGTTGGCAGGCTGCCCCTCTGCACCTCCAGGAGCACCCACACTTCTTGGCATAGCCCTGTAACACTCTTGGCCCATCCAAGGAGCAATCTCAGCTCTCTGGGTCCTTTCCTTCCCCAAGCTGCCCACGTGCCCTGGGGCCTGCCTCTCCAGTCTCCACAGCCTTCAAACCCACATCAGAAGGATCGTTCATATCCTCACTGGGGCTTCTGCTTTGACAATTTACTGTCCTGTTCACAGAGTTAACAATGGCTGTCTCCCCACCAACCAGGTGGAGCCTACAGTTAGTGGACACATGTACTCCTCTGTCCTCACAGCTCTATCAGGCAAGGATCATCAATCATTAGCTCCATTTTACAGACACGGCAACTGAGGCCCCAGGAACGCAAAGTTAGCTCAAGGTCATACAACTAAGCAGCTGAGAAAGCTTAACTGGTACTGCTAGAGGTTTATCTTCCTGGCCCTGTGCACAGCAGGGAGCCTCAGGTGGTAGGTGGCTTGCTGCTGTCCAGGGGCATCAGCTCAAGCCCAAACTTCCTTTGGTGCCAAGAGGCCACTGCCCACCGAAGGTCTTCAAGCTATGAAAACTAAGTTATGCAATCAATGCCCTGGGCTGCAGAGGAAGCTCAGTGGCAGGGCACTTATCTACCATGTATGAGGCCCTGAGTTCAAACCCAGCACAGCAAAAAAAAGGAAAAAAGAAAAAAAAGGCAATGTCCCACATCATGAATGGGCCTCATGCTGGTGTGGCTTTTCTCCTCGCCCAGTAAGGACACTAATTCTTAGGGAAACTGCAAGAGTTCGGCATGCCTTGATTGGTCATGTGAAAACTGCCAATGCCTCCACCCCAGGACTCGAGACTGAACCCAGGGCACCTCAACACTGAGCTGCATTTCCAGCCCTTTTTATTTTATTTTCAGGCACTATCTTCCCAAGTCACTAAGTTGCTCAGGCTGGGTGAAACTTGTGATCCTCCCGCCTCAGTCTCCCAGAGTGCTGGGATCACAATCGTGTGTAACCAACCCAGCTGGCTGCTTGGAACACATTCATACCAAGATGCCTCCATTTTCTGAGCAGAAGCAGAGAGAGCCAAACGCTGAATACCCCCAGTAAATTCTCCCAGTCAAAGGACAAAGGAAAGGCACCTTGATAACGGTCCGGAACCGAGGGCGCCGCGCCCCTCCCCCAGCACACCGCCGAGACGACCGCGGCGTTCATTCTCAGGGCTGGTTCCGAAGGCCTGCGGCGTCCCCCAGGAGTAGTTAGCGGCTGGCTCTCCCGCCCGCCCCCTGACCCCCGCCCCCCCCACTAGCTCTCAGGGGAAACTAGGCTGGGGGTGGGGGGCAGAAGGGCAAACTGGCTACAGCCGCTCCCAAAACAATGTTCCAATTGTCCTTCCGGCCCAGCGATAGATATGCAAGTGGGGCACTTTGTAGAATTTACCGGAGGGCAGCGCCACCGGTTCCCTCCCACTTAACCCCACCGGCCCCAGAACCGCCTCGGGCCAGGCGACTTTGAACTTCAGCAACAATCCTGTTAAATCCCCGGTGCAGTTGACAACATCCTCTAACGCGCCAGCTCTGCACTCCAACCCTAATTCATAACCAAATGCTCCCAACCCACCCCGGTGCCAGGTGGGGAGCCAGGAATGTGCATAGGAGAGCGGTAACCCACCCACCCCACCCCAGGAAAGTAACGGCAGCCTTCCTAGCCCGCCGGCTACCAAAGGTTCTCCCCCACCCCACCCCACCCTACCCTCCACCCTAGAGCACCCTGGAATCCTCCCCTGGCTCTCCCACCCCACCCCACCTTACCCTCCGCCCTAGAGCACCCTGGAATCCTCCCCTGGCTCTCTGGGTGGCACCATCGCCCACCAGGCAGGGCACCGGGGTCGGGTGACTCATAAATCCCCACCCCCAACCTCTAGCTGGCGAGGGAGGGGGCGGGGGCGGGGAAACGGGATTTCTTAAACCTTCGGGTGCCGGAACCCTCCGGCCGGGACAGATAATCCTGGAACTTCTACCGGGAAAGTGTAGATGGGCACCGAGACAAGGTCCCTGAAAGTTTTAGAATTCTCGACGGGGCATCGAAGCGCGACCATAGCGGGGACCATGCACTGGGTTAAAGGCGCTAACCTAGGTGAACACTTGTATCGTATCAATCAACCCGATGCACAAAGGTCTGATACAAGACACATCCAAAGCGCCCACACAGACTCCGTCTCACCTGCGCTCCAGACCCGGCCTTGGGCAAGGTCCAGATCACAAGGGGCGTAGGCTGTGACAAGTTGTCGCCACCGTCTCCTTCCCGACCCCGAGTCCCAGGCGGCCTGGGCACGCGCCGCGCAACGCCCCGCGCGCAGTGGACTCGGAGGGGAGGCGGCTGTGCCTGGTCCTCCCGGGCGGCCGGGCGTCAGGGACCGCGCTTGGAGACGCGGGCCCCGGGCGCGTAGAGGAGGCTGGCGGGCGCCCAGGGGCAGGGACAGAAGGGAGGGCGCCGGCCGGGGCGCCTGACGCCAGGGCGTGGTGCAGGTGGCGGCGGGGGCAGAGTCGACATCCTACCTTGATTTTCGACCTGGCAACCGGGCGCTGCTTCGCCGCCAGGTGTCCATCTGCGCCCCCGGCATCGCGGGGCTCGGGGGTGTCGCGCTCCGGGGCACGCGGGGACGAGCTGCTCTCGGTGCCTCCGGGCTCGCCGGTACTGCTGCCGCTGCCGAAGTCGCTGCGACTGTCTTCAGGAGGGCCGTGGAGCAGCCGGCCCAAGGCCACTACGGGGGGGGGGGGGCGCGTCCCGAGACACGCGGCGTCAGGTCCGGGTGCCCGCGGCAAAAACCCGCCGCCCGGGACCCGGGCATCTCGCCAAGCAGGCGGCGGTACGGGGCTGGGCGAGAGAACTCAGAATTGAGGCCTCGCACCATCCGTGCGGGGGTCGCGTCCTCAGCCCCAACCGCGGCACCCACGAGGGACAGAGGGCTACGCGCCGCGCAGGACGTGCGCGCCAAGTTCCTTCGCGCCGAGGAAGGCGGGTCTGATCTCCCTGCTCCTCGGGGGGGTGGGGGTATGCGCTCCCTTAGGGTGCAGGGAACCCCTGGGGCCCTTCAGCCCACTCCCCGGGCCACTTTGATCGCGCCGAAGCCAACGGTCCCGACAGCCGGGTAAGGAGAAACTCGCACTGGGGAGGACCGCGGGGCGCCCCGGCTTCCCGGCCTCGATCCCTGCCCTCCCAGCCTGAAAGACCCCCGGGGGCTACGAGGGACGTGAGGAGAGACCGCAGCGCCCTTCCCGCCAGAAACCGCCTCCCCTTCCCCATCCCCGGCGCCCACCTGGGATGTAGACGTCCGCGCGGTTCTCATCCGGGAGTGCAGTCCAGGTGCGCGCCGCGGCACCCGGGCTCCTGCGCTTTACCAGGAAGGCTTTGGGCATGGCGAGGCCCCTGCACCGCCCGGCTCCGCTAGGCGCTGGGTCTCGGCCGCGCCCCCCCCCGCGCACCTCCCCCCCGCCCCTGCTCCTCCCTGCGCCCCGCGCGCCCGCGACTCCCGGCTCTCCGACACAGGTGTCTTAAATCGAGGATGAGACCACGCCGGGGGAAAAAGTTTCCTAAGGTGGAATAGAAAAGGCACCAGGAAACTTGGGAACGAGCATGCGCCCTGCAACATAACGGTGTCAACAAGCTCGCTACCTGTCCGACCGGTTCCGGCAGCCGCTCGGCCTGTCCCAGCCCTTCCCGCGGCATGAATGTTTGCAAAATAATTTAACGTCTCAGCCCACCCTCCTCTTTTTTAAAAAAGGAGAACATTTTTTAATCGACCCACGCCCCCTTCCCCCATCCCAAGAACCTCTGGACCAACTCTAAGGTAAACCCCAGGTCCGCTTCCTGGGACACCCCCCCCCCCGCAAGTGGGGTCTCCCGAGTTGGCCCCCACCCCACCCCCAATTGGATTTGTCCCAGACAAGCAAGCCAGAAAAAGGCCGGATTCCTCCTCGGGTCGTTCCCTGGGACTGCTGAAATCTCGGTTGTTCGAAGACGAAGTTGCCAGGAACCTCCTAAGGACTCTTAGCTGGTAATTTGGGGACTTAAGCTCCCTATCATCTGCATCAGCCCCTAAGTCAATCAGTAAATTTATTAATAAATTTTAAAAATTTTGAGTTCAGGATGTTTTAGTCAAACATTTCATTCCCCTGAAGCCTCATAGAATTCATTGGTTTTTTGTTTTTGTTTTTGGTACCGGGGATCGAACTCGGGACCTTGCGCTTTTCGAGGCAGGCGGCGGAACCACTGAGCTAAATCCCCGGCAAGTCAAACATTTCAGAACATGTTTTATTGATTTGTGTCACTCAATCTAAGAAAAACAAAGCTTGCCCTCCAGAGCAGCTTCTACCCCCAAGACCTTGCACCCCAAGAGTCCCTCCACCCCCAAAGGGACACACAATGGAAACAAAAGCCAAATGAATATTATGCAAACGCAGCTTCGAAGTTAAGTGTCCAAGCCTCGCCCACTCCCATTATTGCCGCCCCCAGACGCTCGACCCCCACATTTCTAGGCTGGGAAACACTCTCCAGAAAGGAACATACTCAGCGACACTTTCTCACTTGTTCTGCCGGGGGGGGGGGGGGG